GAATGATTCTTGTTTTCAATTTCATTTAATTTTGCTCTAATTTGGTTACTTATTTTCTTCTGCTGGGTTTGGGGCTGGATTGTTCTTTCTTTTACAGTTGTTTGAGATGGTCCATTAGATTGTTGACTTGTTTTCTTGATAAAGACATTTAATGCTATACATTTGCCTCTTAGGATTGCCTTAGCAGTATCCCACATATTTTGATAGCTGGTGGCTTCATTATTGTTTTTTTCATGAAATCTAACGATTTCCTTCTTAATCTCATCTTTGATCTAGCTGTGAAGCATAGGTTATTTAGATTCCATGACTTTATATAGATATAAAGATTTCTGTTACTGTTGAGTTTATCTTTTATTCTGTGATGATCTAAGAAGATACAAGGGATAATTTATATTCTTTTGAATTTGTTGAGGTTAAATTTGTGTCCTAAGACATGGTTAATTTTAGAGGATGATTCATGGACTGATGAGAAGAATGTGTATTCAGTTTTGTTAGGATGAAGTGTTCTGTATATGTCTGTTAAGTCCATTTGTTCTAGGGTCATGTTTAAATCTAGTGTTTCTTTTCAGTTTCTTCTTGGAGGTTCTGTACAGTACTATCAAAGGGGTATTAAAATCTCCAACTATTATGATGCAGGAAGGTATATTGTCAAGATCTTTTCAGCTTTGTTTTATGTATTGAGGAACATTTAGGTTGGGCATGTAAATATTAATTATTGAAATCTACTCATATTGTGTGCTTTCCTTGATAAGTATGTAGTGTCTTTCCTTATTTTTGTTGATTTAAATCCAATTGTATCTGCAAATAAGATTATAAACCCTGCTTTTTTCTGATTTCCATTTGCCAGGATTATTGTTTTTCATCCCTTTACCCTGAATCTTGTTTTATCTTTTGAGGTTAAGTGTGTTTCGTGGAGACAACAGATATTGGGCATGAACTTTTATATCCAGTTAACCAGCCTGTACCTCTTTAAAGGGGTATTAAAGCCATTCACATTTATTGAGAATTGATAGGTAGGGTGAAGTTTTGGTCATTTTGTTTTTCAGAGGTCCAGAGCTTATTTTTACCCCTTGCACCATAGGGAAGCTAGGCTTTGTTCTTTAATTTTTGAGTGTGTTTACTTTGGTGGTGGGCCATCATGCCAGTCAATATGAAGAATGGTTCTGAGTACTTTGTGTGAAGCCGGTCTATTTATGGTAAATTTCCTCAACATTTGCATGTCAGTAAAATATTTGATTTCTGCATCACAAATAAAACTCAGTTTATTAGGATACAGGATCCTGGGCTGAAAACTGTTCTGTTTAAGAAGGTTAAAGGCTGATGATCATTCTCTTCTGGCTTGAAAATTTTCTGCTGAAAGATCTGTGGTCATTCTGATATTTTTTTATAGGATTTTCTCCTTCACATTGACTTTGGCAAAGTTAATTACAATGTGTCTAGGAGATGCTTTGGATTGAGTCATGCTGGGGTTCTAAAACTGTCTACTACCTGAATTTCTGTATCTCTTGCATTGCTTGGGAAATTCTTCACCATAATGTCTTGGAGTAGAGCATCAGTGCCTTTAGGACCATCCTATTCTCCTTTAGGAATCTCTGTAGTTCAGATGTTTGCTCTTTCAGAATATTCCCATAACTCTCTAAGGGAATATTTTGTTTTTGTTCCCTTTTTTCCTGCCTCTTTAAATGATTGGGCTATTCAAAAATCTTTTCTTCAGTTTCTGAAATTCTTTTTTCTCCATGTTCTACTCTATTACTGAGGCTCTCCTCTGTGTTTCAAAGCTCCTCGAATGTCTCTTTCAATTCCTTAAGTTCTGCTATATTTTTTCTCACTATGTCCATATCCTTGGTGACTTTGTCTTTACATTCACTAGTTTTTTAAGAAAACTTTTGGATTTTTTTTTTTTTTTTGATTTCTACTTCTGTCTTCTCCTCAATTCCGGTCATCTTATTGGCCATCCATATTCTGAATTCTAACATTTTAGTGATTTCTCTGTGGATGGCATTTGCTGCTGTATCTCCCTTATATTCTCTTGGGAGAGTTGATCTGCTGTGATTTTTCACGTTTCCAGAATTCTTCTGCTGGCTCCTCCCCATGAGTATTTTCAGCCCTTCTTTTTTTTTTTTTTTGCAGTTTTTGGCTGGGGTTGGGTTTGAACCTGCCACCTCTGGCATATGGGGGTGGTGCCCTACTCTTGTGGGCCACAGGCACTGCCCAGTATTTTCAGCTTTTTAAAAATATTAATTATAACTTTTTAGTTGAAATGATAGGTTGTCCTTGAATCGTTATTGAGAAATAATCTAATTAGGGACCCTATTTGTCAGGGTGAGACTGGATTAGGAGATCCCAGGAACTGGAACTAACCACCCCTTCCCTAATGAGCTGGAGCTTGTGCTTAGGGCCCTTCCCCTACAGCCTCTTGAAGCTCCCTTTATCAGCTGCAATGATAGTCTCTGAGGGCTGGCTGGGTGAAATAGCACCATCTGGTTCCGTCCTGGTGTTTGTCTGTCTGCTACCCAATTCAAAGGAGTGGTGGCATTTCACTGGAATATCTGCTTGACAAAGATATGAACAGCTATGGCCCTTCCTACTGTCTCCCCCACTCCCCACCAGCAATACCTTGAAGATGGGAATCAGTGGACAGATGCTGGTTCCTTCCTTCACTACTCCAACCTCCCTGGCCCCATACAAACCAAGTCAAATAATCAGTGAACCTGCAGCTCCAGCCCACGGTGGCTGGAGAACAAGAATCTGTGGATAGTTCTGAATGAGAGATCCAGTTAAACTTGCTCAGGCTGCATGAACAACATCCACTCAAACAAGTTCAGAGGGTCACTAGGCACAGACACCAGACAAAACTTCTCCAGAGGGCTGGGGAAAGGTCCATTCTCGCAGAAATGAGAGTTAGGAGAGACACACCTCCCCACACCAGAGTTAGAACTGTAGCACCACTGTTTCCTCTTGGAGCAGGGAGTGTAGCCCTTGACCCAGCAGCCTACACAATGCAGATGGTTCTCAGAGAACTCATCATTCACTCCAGCCTCTGCAGGATGAAGGCCATCAGGCAACCAGAGAGGTGGAAGAGTGGGCTGTGGGCTCAGGACTGCAGAAAGAATATTTGTTTACTTTGCACCGAGTAGGATGGGGATTGGACTTAGAGGTGGACATTCCCAGGTGTAGAAGAACTGGGACCTTGCGGCTCCCTCCCTTGGGGTGAGATGAGAGGTCCTTTGTTCCCTGCCCATGGTGGGCCTCTCTGCTGGGGGAGGGGTCTCCTGTCTCCTTGGTAAACTATGCCTCAGACTAGTGGCTCCATACCTGATCTCTGTTGTCTTTCTTCCTCTTTCTCAGCCTTGCAATTTGTCTCACTGAGGATGATGTGCACCTCAATTTCTTCCCCTTGTGCTCAACTCCCCATTTCTGACTTCTCTGAGTTTACTTCAGTCAAACTTTTCTCCTGCTGGACAGGAACTTCTGGCAAAAGCTGCCTCTAGTCAGCCTTCTTGCCCCTCCCTTCTATGATATAGTATTATTAACTATAGTCCTCATGGTGTACATTAGATCTCTAGACTTACTCATTCTACTTAACTACAACTTTGTACTCTTTTATTTAAATGGTGGCTCACACCTATAATCCTAGCACTCTGGGAGGCCAGGGTAGGTGGATTGCCTGAGCTCTCAAGTTAGAGACCAGCCTGAGCTAGAGTGAGACTCTGTCTCTAAAAATAGCCAAGTATTGTGGTAGGTGCCTGTAGCCCCAGCTTCTTGGGAGGCTGAGGCCAGAGACTCACTTGAGCCCAAGAGTTTGAGGTTGCTAGGGGCTGATGCCACGGCACTCTACCAAGGGTGACAAAGTGAGAGTCTATCTCAAAAGAAAAAAACAAAAACAAAAAACAAAAAGACCAACTTTAATTGGATCCAATACTTTACATTTTTGCTGCCCTCATTTTTAATTTTTGATGCTATAATTAATATATTTTTATATTATGTACCCATTAAGGAAATATTGTACCTATTATTATTTTTTAATACTTTTGTGTTTTAGCCTTTATAATAAAGTTATAAGTGATTGACATACCATCATTATGGTATTACAGTATTTTGAATTTAACTATACATGTGTATTACTTTTTTTTTTGCATTTTTAATTTAGGTTTGTTTTATTTAAGTTAATGTTAATTCCATGCTGTGTTTCGGTAAGAACAATACAAATCTGTATCTGTGGCTCCAGTCAGATATCCAGTGGTACAAATTAGCTTCAAGTTACACATACTGAACAAAAGAGGTTGAGTGAGTGAAGGAGGGAAGGAGTAGGGGAAGGGTGGGCTAGAGGAGACGGAAGGAGAAGAAACAAAGAACTGAACATGCATGCAGGCTTTTCCAGACCACCTTCCATGCTAACCTGCTTCAGAGGGAAGTAAAAGTAGGCAAGAATGAACGCCATGGATTGTTGAACTGTTACCAGCACCACGCTTTTCAGCAACATTTCAGCAAAGTTTGAAACACTTTTTACAGCAAAACCATTACAACAAACTCCTCCAAACAACCTTTAACCACCTCAAGCTAACACCCAATTAATTTTAAACATTGGTATAAAATTCGGTTTAAACAATTAGAAAAAGAAAAAATGATACCATGTATGCCTCTATACTGTGATCAACCTCTCTCTTAAGATGCTTGCATCACCTAGAAGTCTAATGGCTTTCAAATGTAATTTCCATTTCTAATATGGATCTTGCCACGTCTGGTACGGAGACAATTCAGAAATGCTGAAAAAGCCGCTATGCAGTCCTGTTAGTGTCTTAAAGAACCTAAAAGCTGGGACCAGTAAAAGACACAGAAATTCACTCTTGCCTTTAAGAACTTTTGAAAACTGTT